CCTCTCTGGCTTCGTGCGAGGAGAGCTGCCACAATGTCCAGGTCAAGCACGTGCCCTGCTGAGAAACAGCGCTGCCTGCATGGAGGCAGCAGATCACAGGGCTTTGAAGGGCTTCAGAGACACATGCTCTTGGCGTGGAGCCTGTTTCTATTATTGACTGTGTGAGACCGGGCAACTTGTTCAATCTCTACACTCCTCATATTCTCACCTGAGAAATGGGGATAATGATAGTACTTATATTAGGTACTTGTGAGAATGAAATGAGTTAATGCACATGAGGTACTGGCACTGGCTGGGACCAGGCTCCAACATGCTCACTCTTATCATCAACCAGACACGAGGTGAACCCCTGAGTCGGGTGGAGGCCATCCAAACGGAAGGGCAGCCTGGTCAGAGAGGCAGAATAATGGTCATCCATACACTCCTTCAACAGGTCTCTCCTTCACCTGTTCCAAGCAACAGGGACACAGAGTGAACAGGATAGACATTTTAGAGAGAGTCAGACCAGACAAATGACTGAATAGTCAGATATTGAATGCTGAACAGCGGAGGTATGGGAGCTAGGGCAGGTAAGAACTGGGGTGTGGTCTGACCCTGCAGCAGAGCCCGAAGTGAGGGCACAGTCAGGACACCTGGGGAACAGCCCTCAGACCAGGCAGCAGGAGGCAGCAAGCAGGGTGTGTGAGACGTGAGACGGACGCAAGCGTGGCTGGTCAAACACCAAGGGGCCTGGGGGCCGACTGCAGGGGAGCTGCTGGAGACAGGCAGCAGCCACACAGGGCCTCAGGCGCGAATCACTGGCGGGTGATGGGCTGGTGGGAACCAGGGCACAGGAGCAAGGCAGAACACCATCCTAGGGCTCAGAGAGGGTGCCTGGGCCACACGTTCCTAAGGAACCCCAGCCCTGTCCCCCTGCCCTTAGAACTTTCTGCTGTGCCCAAGACCACAGGACACGTCCAGTGTGGGTGGGGCCAGAGGCCAAGCCTGGTTCACCTGGGCCTGACCCTCACCTGAGGGGGTCTGCCTGTGTGCTGACAGGAGGGCGGACGCAGGCCATCATCAGTTCAGGAGTCATGCCTGAAGGTGCTCCTTTTCACCCCAAATGTTTTCAAATGGCTGCCTACAAACATGTTAGAACTCAGTAACATCCTGGAGACTATAAGGGGCTCTCCTAACTCAACACAGATAAAACTGTTTCACCAACATAGATTTTTTTAGAAGTTGATAATTTCTTATGTCTTAGTCTTTGGCCTGTGAGCCTCGCAGGTAGAGCAGCGGCTTGCTAGGAGGCAGGGGTGTGGGAGAGGGCCGAGGAGACAAGGGGCGCTGCTAGGGTGGACTGAGTCCTGACTGGTGTGTTTGGCCCAGGAGGGCTCTCTGGCCAGCTCCACGGACATGTCTGGTTTTAAAAAGTGCCAGGAAGCCACAGATTTGCATGTTATTTGTGCTCCAGGCTTCAATTCCAGTATGTGGAATGAAATGAGTGAATGAACAGTATTCACTCCTGGTTAAGGGGTGGACTCAGGAATCCAGACCACACCAAGGATCCAATCACTGGTCCAGCTTGGATCAGGAGACACAGACACAGAGACAGAACCATCAGAGAGACAGAGAGACAGTCTTAGAAAGACAAATACCATCAAGTCCTTTTTAGCAGGTAGTTTCCTGTCAAAGCAAGAAAGCAAAATCCACAGTTTATTTCAGATAAACCAACTTTTAAAAACTAGGGAGGGAGTCACACATAGATAGGCAGATAAAGGTGACATCATCCCTAACTCATCTCCATCTCTGCCCCTCCATCATCCACAGAGTGTCAGACTAGACCAGGTACCTATGAGTGGGCCTTCTTGATAAGGCCCTTTGCTTGGTGTCTGCCTGGCCTCCTAAATTAGTTAGATTGTAAGGTCCTCAGGGACATGTGGTCACACCATCTCCTCACTCACTCCACCTTCCAAGGCCCCCAAACCCAATGCTTAAGCACATGCTTATTAAACATGTGGCATGAGGCCCCCCAGGAGATATCAAATGAGGAAATGCCCTCCAGAGACTTAGCTCTGGCTAACAAACAGCCATAGGCAGCGCGTAAAACAGTTCACTTAAAGGACAAGGCAGACAGCAAGGGACCTACAGTCTCAGTCTGAGGGACGTATAGTATCCCTAGAAACAGAAAAAGATGGGGAAAAACCACATGTAATAGAAAGATGTGTAGAAAGAATTGCTTTGATTTGCCCCTCGTGATGGAGACTGAGACCTGTGAAGAGCATGCTCAGCTGCCGAGGAAGGGGTTTCTGTTGAGAGCAGAGGGCGCACTGAGCTCGAGAACAGGGAGGAATTGTTTGGGGCCGCACAGAGGAGCTGGTCGCTGCGGGGTGCCTGCATCAGTGGCCCTTTCCCCACCCCCTGCACATCTGTCTTTCTAAATACCTGTTCAATCAAGTTGCTCCAGGCTAGAGAAGCAATTTGCACTCCTAGTTTAATAGCACCAAAACCATTCACTGCCCTCAGTGGCAATATGTCTTAGTCTCTTCCTGATGTAAAAGGCAGATTACAATACAAATACTACATGGTGACTTGGTGATTTATAAGGATGCAGATATCCAGGTAAGATTCTAAGAAAATGTAATCATGGAAGGCTTCAAGGAGATGGAACTTGGGTATGTGCTTGTAGGCACTTGTGAAAGGAATAAACTGGTACACCAAACGAGGCGTACCCAGCAGACTAAGGACTTCGGGCTCTGCGTGTGCCTCTCTCCCAGCACTATGTCCTGTGAAGGGTGGAAGGGCAGTCTCCAGAGGTCAAGTAGTTGATGGCTACTCCTCCGCTCAGGATGGGGAAAGTCAGCAGATAGGATCCGTCCCATAAGAGTAAAGCCTCTCCTCTGCACCTTAACTCTAAAACCAAGCCAGTGTTACACTGGCTTTAGACTTTGAATCCCTACCTTGATCAATTTTTATTCCAAGCAACATGATGGCCCTCAGGAACAGTTCAGAATCTTAGACTTTGACAAGACCCTGGACAGGTGGTTGAACTACTCACAATCGGCTCTCCCTTCCTTAGCCCTCACTGGCCGGGGAGGCATCCTGCACTATCGTTTCTCCAGCGTTGCTCTTCTGGTTCAAAGTCTCGTTTCTCTTTTCTTTCCCATGGGGGATGCATGCGTAAGTCCCCCCTATCTGACTGAGTGGCCATCATGACCCCATGTATGCTTGTCCCTCCCCACCTCCAAAGCTGGGAATGCAGTCATGGGCTCCTAACAGGCAGATGTTAGCATTCAGCACAGGTGAAATAAGGCTGTGGGCTATGAGGGTAGAGGCCGGCCCGAGTCTTACTTGTCCCTTCCAAAGTTTTAGGGTGGATTTGAAGTTGTGGGTCGATTGTTCCTGGCAGAGAAACATGGCACCTTTCCCAGGAGCTCAGCATGCAACATGTTCTAAGTCAATGATGGGGCCTGACGGCCTCAGGCCTCCTTTTCCGGCCCTCTTCAGTATGTGGAACCCCAGGGTAAGAGAGTCACACTCCACTTCACTCTGGCCCATCCAGGGGGAGCAAGGGAGAAGACAGAAATCAAGGGACAGCCGTCTCCCTTACTTGGGCAAGATGTATTTGTGAGTCAGAGGGATGGCACAGGACCAAAGGCTAAAACATAAGACCTTGGGGCTTTTAAGTGAACCCTCTTCCCTACCCCCTACCCAGTAAAGACTTTTATGAGCCCCATAAAACCAGGTGGGGATGGACACCCTATGGGATGGGGCTGTTGGTGGGGCTTGTCCTGGTCCCTGCATCTACCCCCGGACACGAACACCTGGGCTAGCATCGCCAGGACCAGTGGACAGAAAGTACCAGCACAGCGTCTGAAGAGGAGGGAAGCTGACACCACAGAGCACGAAGCACCTCATACACAGAGGAGTCAGTGTACACAGGCACAGGTCTGACAAGGGAAAAGCACTCACATTCCACCCTGAACAGGAGCCACAGTGGCTCTCAGGGGATGAATGGGGTGGACCGGCCTCTGTGCCTCAGACCATATACTCTCAAATGGGCATGAACAGTCCATCTGGCTTTCTCTGTACAAGGGTCCAGGAGTGATCTCTGGAGCTGTCTGTTGAAGGCTATCTAGCATCTAGAGTATATCATCCCTCAAGTGTTCCTTTTTTAGGACAGGTAGGTGATTATGATGATAAAGAGCACTGAGCACAGGAACAGGGGAAGACAGGAGATGAGGAAAGTAACAGGCTTGAGTTTACAGCAGGTGAAAAAGGACATGCCAGCATGCCCTTGTCCATGGGAGGCAGTCTTCTTTTCTTTTTCTTCCTGGTCACCCAAGCCCAACTTTAAATGAAGGAGAAAAGAGGTTTCCAGATGATAGTCCTGCTCTTGTTAACTAGCTTGCTGTAAAGAGTGGTCCGCTATGTAAATCTGTTGGGTTCCCACTGAGCCAACCTGGGCCACAACTTAGGTCTTGGCTTGCCTGGCCCACCCATGAAGAGTGGTCTCAGGATCACTAGCTTCCCTTTTCCAAACTGCACTGGTCAGAAAGTGGGGCCAGGTTCAGACAGGCTCAACATCCCTTATAAGGTTTTCCAAGTGCTTTTGTCGTGTGCTTCATTCCCTGCTGTACGTGGCGATAAACACTTGCTGCTCTGTCTGTAGAGAAAGTCTGTGAGGAAGGGAAGACAGATGGTATCTAAAAATGGTTAAACAATAAACAGAGAACTATCTTGTTCTGAATCCCCCAGACAACAGTGAGAGCACCTGAAACAGCCAGGCCTTTCGATTCCTAGACCAAATCTATACCACACTGCCGCCTTTCAAGCTGTCACTTAAATATATTAAGGGCCAAGAATCAGCATTCAGGAGCCCTACAATGAGCCTGTATGCCTTAGCTTTCTAAAGGAGAGCATGAAAGGTCCCAGCAACTCATATATAGAAAGCTATTTATTTTCTATGGAAAACACAAACATACACACACACACACAAAAAAAAAAAAAAAAAAAGAAAGAAAGAAAGAAAGAAGAAAAAGAAAAGAAACAATAGTCTTCCCCCAAAAGGCAGGCAGGCAGTCATGAAAACGACAGGACATTTAGTTGCTGAAGTGGAAATAGTAACATTCAGTTGACAATGGAATAGTTAAAAAAAATAGTTTTCTTTTCAAATTGTAACCTGTGGTAAAACATAGAAAAATGTACTAAACAAGCTTGGTATAAAACAGAGTAAATTTTTCAAATAAGCCCAGGGAGAAAGCACAATGTTGGAAAGGATGGGGCACAAGGGGAGAGGAAAAAAGATTTCATACAAAACTACCTGTTACTATACAGAAAAAGGTATAAAATGTTCCTATTTTGGTGCTTCAGTACAAAATAACACTGGCACTGGACCATGTCACTACCTGGCCTGGGGGGCACCGAGGGTAGGAGGCTACAAAGAATGACAGGAACAGTGGCTTTTAATCTAAGTTGACCGTACAGATTCCACCCGTTTTCTAATTGAAAATCTCGCCTCCCTCTGTAACCATTACCCCTAAGCCAAAGTTCATCCAGCCCTCAAAATATTGTTAGAAGTCCACAAACACCCTACACAGGGGCTGGGAGCTGGGCGTGCTGGAGCTAAATGTGGAAAATGGAAATAAATGTACAGGCTAAAATGGTGAACATATTCAGCCTTTAAAAAAAAGCACATCCCTGTGAAATATATATATTAAATTCTCTGTGGTTAGAAACACATCTGAACTAGCCACAGGTCAAGCTAGATCCGCATTCATCAATGCTGGAATTCTATGCTGAAGACTGCGGGCCTTCTTCTTGGGCAGGAGGTGGCAGCAATGAAAGTGGTGCCTGTCGCTCTGCTGCACCTCCCCCTAGGTGGGCCTCCCCCACAGCACGTACTGTAAGCACATGCAAACCCCTGCTTTTAAGGAAAGGACTGCTCGGGGCATTGGGGTCCACCCAGGGCTCGGGTGATGTGCTTCAGGGTGGGAGGAAGCTACACATGATAGAACAGCCTTGCATGGAAGCAGACGGATTTCACAGAGGGGCATATAAATAGGAAAAGGCCTGGAGTAGGGACTTACACAGGTGCCTCGAAGTCCAGTATACAGGCACCCTCCTGATGACACATCTTGAAAGTCCTGTGTGTATATGTGTGCGTGCATGTGCTGGTGGTTTTCATCCCCACCCTTTGCCCACGCCCCTTCCTCTCAGTAAGGCCTAGCAACAAGAGCTCACAGAAGACCAAGACTCTCAGCCCCCAACAAGAACTGAGTGAGGCAGGAGTCCTTTGAAAACAAGAGGGCAGAGCTGAAGACATGAAAAACAGTCTCTCTTCAGCTTAGGGATGTCCCTCACCCCTTTCACAGCACCAAAGTTTCTTTGCAAAAATAGTATCTGAGATACAAAAGGAAAGGCAGGTGTGCTTGTGAACGCGTGTCACCGGGCCTGGTCCTGAACCGAGGGCTGCACAAGACAGAGGGCGAGAGCGGCTGTTCTGAGCTGGTCCCCATGGTCAGTGGCTGCCGACTGAGACAGTCCTCACAGAAGCCTCCGGTGGAGGATCTCCCAGACCATCCGCTTCCGGAAATATGGCATGTGTTGCTGCGGGGACATGAAGACATCCTTAACTTCCGTTTCTTTAATCCAGGCCCAACCCTTTCCTTCTGGAGGTTTCAGCTAGTCGCAGTTGCATTTCTGCTCTTTGAATGGTTCATTCCTGATTAGGTGTGACTTTTTTCTTTCCACTGCTATCTCTATTGCTATTTTCCACTGGTACAGCCTAAGGCTTACTGGGCATTGCCAGGAGTCCCCAGGCTAGACCCAAATGACTCCAAAGTTTTCAGAATGGTGTGTGTCAAGTCCTCTGTGTTGAACTTTTAAGAAGGTATGAAATCTGAGGCCTGAAAATAAAACACTCACTTTTCAGGGGAAGAGTTGTGGGAACTACAAGAGTCAGCTCCACCCAAGGGCTACGGCAGAAAATCTGGTAAAGCCGTTCATTTAAACAGAAGTAAGTAAAGAGTTAAGTGGAGGATGCAGAATAAACATAAGCTCTAGTCTCAATCTACTTTGGTCTCTGGACAAAAGTGACAGACCACATGGACAGAAATAAATCACAAATTAAGAGAAGACTGACCAGCTGCACCAAGTGAAGGGTAGGAAGGAGGGTGGCAGACAAGCTACACTAGGCAGTCAGGGTGTGACCTGCCCCACAGCCTCACTGCTGGCCAAATAAAGGGCACTGAAGAAAACTGGCTCTGGCCCCAGGCTCTGTCTCCTACAGGGTCTGAGGCAGGTGGGGGAGATGAGCAGAGAAGGCGGCTCTGCTGCTGACCAGGACTCTGTGACTGCAACAGGTGATGTATGGTGACTGAGGATGTGGCCTATCACGGTCCTTTTTCTCGTGATGTGGCCCGGCTAGTAACCACCAGTATTAGGAGCCACGTGGAGAAGCATCTATCAGCAGCCTGAACAGGGGGTGGCCATGGCCCCATGAAGGCCTGGCTCACCTGTGTGAAGCTGATGGGTCTGTCTTTGGTAATGCAGTCAGCATATTTGCAGGCAAACATGCCACAGTCACTTCCATTCATCTGCTGTGGGATTTCCTGAAGGACCAAAAACAGCAAAAGGGTGACATCTTTCCAAGCTTCCTTCCTCCTTATTAGATTTATACATAAGAACCAAAGGATATAAATTTAACAGGTTTCCCTGAGTTTTGAAGAGATGACCCTCTCCCACTCCCACTCAGAACAACTCAGACAAGAAAATAGAGCATCCCAGTCAGGCCTGTGTCCTTCATATTTATTATATAGCGGACTACCTTAAACTTCCATGACACATAAAGATGTAAAACCTGGTCCCTCCACAAGGGCCAATCAGCAAACATTTCCCACAGGAGTGAAAAGCTTAGCAAATAGCTGGACATTTAGAAAACCTACTTCTCCATAAGAAATACACTCCTAGTTTTCCCAGAGAGTTTATTCCACCTTCTCAGAGAAACCAAACAGCCAAGCTGAAGTCTGGCTAGACACTATGACAGAAGGTCCCTGGGAATCAGGCAGTAAAACCCTTACCTCCCCTCCCCTCCCCTCCCCTCCCCTTCCCTTCCTTTCCCAAATATCCGAACCTCAGGATGTCCATCTCCCAAGAAGAAAAGTACCTGGCTTCTCTTGCTGAAGAGCTGCCAGCCATTGGTGTCAAACTCTTTTCTTTTCTTGTCAATGCTTTCTTGCTTCAAGTATTGCCTAAAGGAATTAGGAGAATGAGATGAGCTGTGGGGAACACTGATGGCACCTACCATCCTAACAGTGGGGCTGACAATCTTCGGGAAGAATTTTCAGCTGCACCTCTGGAGAAACAGTATACAGTGCTGGAGGCGGGGGGATCTCTGGAGTGCCAGGCTACCTTTGGGGCTCCCACAATTCATGCCCACCCTGTCACCATAAGAGAAGCAGGACCTCTACCTCTGAATACCCAGCCTCCTTCTACCTACTGTTACTCCCAAGGATCAGTTTTGACTCTTTCCCTTGGTTTATATATTCTTTTAGAACTCAGTCTAATGGAAGAATGTTTCTCTAGCAATATGAAGATACTTGATTCTAGCAATATGAAGATTTTTAGTCTTGATTCTCTCTTCTCTGAAAATTCAATCTAAATCAACAATCTGTTGAGTGCACACCTCATACAGAGCACTCTTCTTAACTGCTCACCATCCTGGAACCTACCTCCTCCTGGCCACCAGAGCGGTACTGTGAGGAACAGGTGTTTTGGAAAGGGAAACAGGTGCAGCATAAAGAGCCCTGCATTCTGGCTCCCCACTGAGCCGCTAACTAGTAGGACCTAAGCAAACCACAGCCACTTGGTGGGGCGTGGCTTCTTTATCTGAAGAATCAGAAGGTTGGATTAGATGATTTCTATGTGGTTCATCTATCTATCTAATCAATCTCTCTCTCTCTCTATCTATCTATCCATTTATCTATCTATGCTATATTTTAGTGCCCTGGGACAGTAATTGTCCCCATTAGAGCATATTTTTGGTATTATAAAACTTGCTTAAATATATAATATCCCTTCTTAATATGAAGACTTCCTTTATTAATCACTTCATTGACAGTATCAAAGAACTGAATTCAATAGCTGGAAAAACACAACACATACCCAACACCAAACTCTTCTGTTCTCAACTCCTTACTTACAAAAGGATCCTGCAGGCCTCATTGTTTATCCCACCCATAGAGTCATAATAGGTAATATTCTTCTTTCTGAAGTCCACAACCTGGGAATAGAAAATCTGTGTGTTTATAAAGTAAAGAAAACGGGTTTCTCAGCTTTTCCCTTCCCTGGAACTTGGAACTTTTTGCCAGATTTCCAATGAGATCATGAAAAGTTTGACTGATGCTTAATCCACAGAAGAAAGAGCAACAGGAGACTATTTACATAGAACTATTGTGGGGGCCGAGTAACGGGTGGTCCCATTTACTGCCCTGACACCTTTTCCTAGTATTCGGGCTCTCCATCTGCAACATGGGCAACACTGAAGACATAATGTGCTCTATACAGAATGTTAGCTGAGCGAGATGATTTCCACACAGTTCCAGAAAGATGGTAACAGATCCTGGGTCTTGTTTCTTTACCTGGAGAATTTCCTTTGGCTTTATACTTTTCAAATGTAATTCAAAATAGATTGTGAAATAATTCTTATACTTTTGTTAATACATTAAGCTACTATATCCATGTTCTTAGCACCATTAAAAAAATACTAAACTACCAAGTATGCAAAGCCAAGTCACAATTAGGCAGAAATAATCATTGCAGAATCTGAATTGGCAGCATCATTAAAAGGTCACTTTCTCCCCATGCCTGGCCTTGACACTGCTTAGACCTTATAACTTCCTTTTAAATATTTCCAGCAAAGGAAATTTCAGTTTGGAAATTCCAAAGTACAGTTATCTCCCACTCTTGACAGCAAGTTCATTAATCTATCCAGTTTTCAGCGAACTAAGTATTACTCTATCATCCAGTGTGAATGTAGGACCACTGCTCACTACTGTCTGTAAAATAGATCACGTATTTTAAATTGTATCAAAAACAAGAGAAGTACTCACAGCAAGACACCAGTGCACTCCTAGGTGAATGGGCACCAAAAGAATGTCAACAGAAAATACATCCACTTTCTTTGTCCAACGTTTCACTGCCTGATAACCAGCCGTTTTTAACTTAGTGAAAAAAAAGGTATTAAACGCATGCACACTTGGCAATCCTTTCTCTTTACTTCGCTCCATCAACATATTCATATAGAAATTGATGATCTGTGGGAAGAAATCATATGTATTAAAATAGACACTCAGGCCTTTCAAAATTGGTGCCGTATAAAGGAAAAGCAGGTGTTCCATCACAAAGCATGTTGTTATTTCCTAATCAATTAAGATTTCAGTATGTATGGTGACTAAGGATGTGGCCTATCACGGTCCTTTTTCTCGTGATGTGGCCCAGCTAGTAACCACCAGTATTAGGAGCCACATGGAGAAGTGTCTATCAACAGCCTGAACAGGGGGTGGCTGTGGCCCCATGAAGGCCTGGCTCACCTGTGTGAAGCTGATGGGTCTGTCTCAGCTCCATATCTCATACCAAATTCTGACTAGAAGGGAGGAGGGATGGAACGGTTATAAATAGTGAAAATAGAAAACGTGATGCACATGCATACATTACATGTGTATGTTCATACATACATGCATAATGTACACACATAAACATGCCACATAAACATACGTGTACACAAATATACACACACACAATGGAGCTTGAGGTACATATGGGCAGATGCTGGCCAGACTTGGAGAAGACTGAGGATTAAGTAAAAAACTGAAGAAAGAGGAGGAAATGATGCTAGAAGGTGAGCCTTAGAGAAGGGAAAGGAAGGAGAGCAAACAGTTTAACAGGCACATCAACAGCTACTTTCATGAGAGCTGTGTGAGCATTTAAATAAATCCTGAGCTCAGTTAAGAGTCCAGTGTTAGTAAAGCTAAGATCTGTAGTCCAATCTTACATAGGGGTCACCTGGCATTGCACAAAGACAGAAAATGCTGACCATGGCTAAAGACTGCCTTTCAACCTCACCCTGCAGAGGCAAACTGTTTCAGTGTCAAGGAGAGCTGAGTGACAGGCTAGGCCCCCAACAGCTTCAGAGACCCGACGGCAGGCAGTGGAGTGGCCTCTGGAGAGGCACACAGGGACGTGGCACAGAGGCCACACTGCATGGGACCTGAAAGCAGAGTCACAAACATGGAGAGGCAAGGGCTCCCCAGGAGTCGCTGTGGTTAGCTGCCTCTGCTCTGCTGATTCCACTGGCACCTTCAGTATCAAGTATGAGTGAGAGGAATCAAAGTGCTTGATGTGGGACTTATGGGACTCTCCCTGTTCACGAAACAATGTGCTCTCTAACAGTGACGATGTCATCTATGTTCCGTTTGGTCTGGGACTCCTTGGTACTGAAGCTTTAAAGTTACGGCACACTTACTTATGTGGCCAGTGGAGGCCAGGCCAGTGTTTGTCAACTACAAGGAATGAATGGGCTAACTGATCCAAAGCTTGGAAATATGACTAAGAAAACAGGCACATTTTTCAGAATGCTTTTTGGGGAATGGGAAAATGCCCCCGTCCTTTGACAAATATTTACCCACTAGGATGCCAGAGCAATGAGCTACTGCCCAAGAGCAGGCAACTACATGGGCAGGCAGCAGGGAAGACGGCCAGGAACGCTGGAGCGCGTCTGGACTAGAGAAAGGGCCTTTGGATGGGAAACCACACTCGCAGAGGCAGAGCTCTGAGGGAGGTGGGGAAAGGGCAGGACTGAAGAAAGGCACTGTTCTGCGGCCCAGCAGGCCCAAAGGACTTGGGCTGTGGCTAGTTTTTCTGCCTAGTGTGATGCCCAATAGATAACCAGAGCACAGTTATTTCAATGATGGATTGACACAATTAGGATTATAGATTTCTCAAACCTAGGTTTTTAATCTAGCTGCCCATGGATAATGGTGCTAAAAGATGCCTGTGAAGGCAGCCAGGAATGCAGGAGGACCTGCCATGGAAGCACAGATTCCTAGGCTACAAACCACATTCTCTGTGACAGAAAATCAGCAAGAAGTGATCAAGTCCTCTGGGATTCTTCTGTTCATCCCACAGTATAAGCCATGTTATGAAGCTAGAGCCTTCAATTCAAGGAATAAAGTGAACAGGCTGATGACCTCCCTGCCAGTCCTATAAGCCAAACCTTCCACAGGGCAGACAAGTTATATAGGCAGTAAGGACTCAACGAGAGGTGGAAGGAACCAGGCAAAGAGACAAGGACAGCCAAGCACACAAAGTCCTGCAGACACATCTCCTCCAGATACCGTATGTAAGATCTGGGATCATTACCCTGAAGTAAAAAAGCATGACGTCGATGGGGGACAGGCTACACAGGGCTATCCTGTTCTTCAGGAGGAAAGAGTTCCAGAAACAATGAAGTCTGCTGCTCTTACACAGCCTGAGTGTTTGGTTTATTATTTTATTTTGAGTAGACTATATAGAGTGGACTATAAAGCTAAAGCCCAACCCAGCTGTAGGAAGAGACCTGGCAACCAAGATATCACATTGTTTCCTTAGAGAATCCCTCCTCCACTGATTTGGCCAAGGTTTCTCCGCTGAGAGGGAAACAGGCTCCTCCAAAGTCAGTTTGTTAATTAGCTCTAAGGAAGGATCTGGGCTCTTTTTCATTTCCTCTGTATGCCAGCAGCAGGGAGATTGGTGGCCTCAGTGTTCCCGCCCATTAACTAAGGATGTGTAATCTAACATTTGAGGCAGAATTTAGATCCAAGTCTCTGCAGTTTTTCAGCTATTACTCTGTCCACATGACGAAAACTGCCATAGTTCAGCCAAGACAAAATATCAAAAAAAGCAAGCTAGGAGTTAGAGAAGAAAAATAATCCTGCATGTCACCTCACAGAGAGCTGAAGATGAAGGAAAAGAAATGAGAGAAGGGATCACAGTGTTTAGATGAAAGAGAAGCAGTGAGGTCAGAGCATCTTCTTGTTTTCTGGGAAGACAAGGGTTCCCCCTCCCATGGTGAGAGCCTTTCTGCACACAGCGCTGTCAGCTGCAGAAGCCCTGGAGCTCCCTTTGAGTTCCCTAGGCACTAAGCACAGAAAATCAGCTCTGTGCCTATGGCCTGTCTTGCTGGCCCCCCAGCACCTCAACACTGCCAGCACTGTCTGCCTGTCACTTGTCAGGGGCCTATGCTCGCCTCTGTCTACTGCCTCCACAGCCTCAGCTGTGAGTGCCTGCTTGTCTATGCAGTCCTGTTTGGGGATGGGATGGTTGTTTACAGTATCTTGTTCCTTTGTGATTTTACTTCAAGAGCTGCCAGGCTGAAGTTGAAAAAAGGTTCTCTTTAAAAGAAAACCCTACAATGCTTTCAAACTAAGGACTCAGTCCTTTTCCTGTATTTACCACAATGACATAAATGACCACTGCTATTTGTATCTCCTTCGTGCCCAGTAAACCAGCCAAACCATTGTTTTTTTATGCATTAAGAAGTAAAATATTTTATTAACAGTAAAAAGTCTTGATTTTTAAGCCTTCCCAATTTTACATTCTGAGCCCTTCTAGTTGGCATAGGAAAATTATGTTCTAAAAGTCCTGGGCATTATAGTACTTCTGAGCAGAGACCAAGACAAATTTAAGGGGAAAACCGTCATTTTTAGATTTTCACCTGGAACTCCCCATTCTGATTTTTATAAAAGTGTACCCTTGTCAATGACGGAGTCCAAAAGACTAAGCAAGCAGCAGCAATTGCACATTATGAGTCAGAGGATCAGTCACCACAAACCTGACCTAACAGTATGACAGAAACCAGGAGGGAAGACCTCAGGTAAGCTCTGTGTATTGCACCCCTCACTATGAACATGGATCCAGAATTTTTATCACATGCAAGTTCAAGTAACAAGTTAACAGAATTACTGCTCAAGCTTTAAAGAAAGGCAGGCAGGACACACCTATTTTTAGAGTGATGACAAAGGTAATTACTATTTTCCCTGTGACCTTAGATAAATTCCTAGTTTATCAAAAGGGCTAGATCTGCTAAAAAACACTTTAAGGAAGTAAACTATAATGGTGTAGAATCTACCAATGAGCCATGTTAGAAACACTAAAACTTCTATTCTGATTTTATTCCATATTTTATATCACAGCTTATGGTAGGACAATGGAATGTGCCTAATTAATTTACCTAATTTTGCCTAGTTTTTTCCCTTCTTATGCAAGGAAAACCTGTTCCCTGTGCTAGGTTTGTCTAGTTGGGCTTATGCTTTGCAAGCTGTTTCCTCTCTTTACGGAGCATCACTTAAATTCAACTGCTCTTTGGAAACAATCAGACAGCTGTGGCCACTACCAATTCCCCATTTCAGTCCGAGATCTGTTATGAAAGTCAGAATGCCAGAGAAAGAGTTCTGTACTGTGATTCCAGATCCTACTTTTGGATCTTGTTATATCTCTTAAACATCTTTCTTTCTTTTCCAGCATCAAATTCTGTCTATACTCAGGGCGACTGTGATGCTGAATGGCTGAAAGACACCACTTTCTTTTCGGAGATGAGGCTTCTGACACGAGTCACCAGGCTGCTTGGCAGGCTGTGTCATCAGTGCAGCTACAGTCTGCTGTGTGGATTCTCCCTCCATTCTTCCCACACTCCTACCCTCTCCACATTTGTTGTGAGTCTTCTCCTCAGTTTTTCCGTAGCCAGTAAAGTCAGAAATACAGTATTCCAACAGTCAAATGCTTTTGCATTTTGAAAAAAACTGGCAGGAATTAACATGGGTTTACAAAACAGAACCAGAGAAAAAACATGACTGCTTGCTATTTTTTCAATTCATTCATGTATATTAGAGCAAAACCATGTGCCCCAGCCCATGTGGAGACACAGGAGAAAGTGGCATTTCCTAGATCTACTTACCTTCCAGGATCCTATCCATCTTTCACTTTTAACCTATGTTTTCACATTAAAACAGGTTTCTTGTAGACTGATTTTTTTATCCAACCTGACAGTCTTCACCTTTGAACTGGATGTTTAATCTGTACTGGCCAATATGGTAGCCCTGGCCAAAGGTGGCTACTGGCAGCTGAACTACGGCTAATCCAAACTGTGCAGCAAGCATAAATGTGCTATAAATATAAAATGCACACCACATTTTAAAGAGGAGTACAGAGTACACAGTACAGAACTCTTTCTCTGGCATTCTGACTTTTATAACAGATCTCGGACTGAAATGGGGAACTG